GTACCTTGAATACGTTAAAAGTGGCTCTGGGAATTTATAAATAATTTTAGCTTTTAAATGTGTCACAATTGATTTTTGTCTGCTAATGACATTCCATAATTTAAGCCGTATAATAATAGCCGATTTAAAAATAGGTTCAAAATGTTTATTATCACGGCGGTCACTTTTTCAAACTATTAGCCAACGCCAAAATCTACCTACTTCCAAACAGACGGCCAGGTAAATAGCAAGTTAAAGTATGTATTGAATACGCTTCTATGCAAACTGCGATAAGAGACATTTCGAAGAAAAATGCAGGAACTTTGGATACGCTGTAATGTATTTTGAAAACACTACTAGCTATTTGAGAATCAAAATAACAGATAAATAAATAAATATAAATAAATAAAAATTCAGTATTAAACCGGTTTGATGAGAGCTGATAATCATATCTCTCGTTAATAATGTTTTGCATATTCCTTAGCAAAATTGATTACAATTCAACTAAATATTTTCGGCAAAGGCAAAATAAGGCAACTAATGTCCGAAGCGCCTAAAAATGATTTTTCCCAAAATCTTTTGTAAACTTGGTTAAGATTTGGCAGTCTGTGTGGCTAATCAACCAGAAAATAATGCTGTTTTTCGGGAAAAAAATATGTTTTATAATTGCAGAAAAAATTATGTCTGGTTCAAATGAACAAAGTATGTCTTTCTCACGCAAAGTGCCAACTGAATAACTTTTCTCATTCGTATTAAAGATAGACAATTGTAAAATCAATTTTTGGCAAAAATCTTTTTTTTATTGGGACTTTATTTCATTTTCTATAAGTAGTATTTGGATCCTGTTGTTGAGTGAAAACATTGTATAAATATGAAAACAATTAAATCAGATTGCTTCGATTATTATTGTTTAGCAAAAAAATAAACAGCAATTTTCTAATGTAGGAAAGTTTATGTATAATTTTTAACCAGGTGACCAGGCATTAGAAGAATCCAGACTAGTTCTCCATCACCATCGGCATCAGTACTGAAATGTAATCTACTATCCTTTTTAATACAGTTCTACCAAAGACTACATAATATTTGCACAGTCCCTGTATCCGTATTATCTATTGTGACTCTCTTTATCTAGCTTCGTTTCTCTGATACCTCGTTACCTCTAATATTGGCGTCTTCTTCTTACCAAAATCTGCATTCAGTGTTTTCTTCCACTTCCATTAGGTTTAGATGCCTTTTAATCCGTCAGTAGATCTACTATTACCAGGTCTGTTGTAAACTTCTAAGAAAATCTTCAGCCTGTCTTTCTCCTTTCTCCTGGGGCTAGCTTGCCTCTTTCCTCTGCAGTTTTAAATTATATTTTGATTAGTTTTGGTTAGTATACGTCCCGTGTTAAAGGTTCACGGACATGTTTTTTGATTTTCAACAGTTTGACACGTTAATCAGAGTAGTATTACTTTGTCACCGGTTTTTATTTGTACAGACAATCAAAATTCAAAGTTTCGGTATCTCGAGTAAATTTCAATAAATCGTCAGAGCCGAGAGGCTTTTTCAGATTATGAGATCGAATTTTATTCGGAGCCATGCGATTTAACGTAATCCGAATTCAGAGACGCAATATACGTGTTTCCGAGTCAAGGTTGTGCATATGCTGAGGAACGACACATTCAACGATCAAAAAAGCATAACAAATGTGCAGCGGTCGTAAAAGCAATAATTAAGTGCCCATCGGCCGTTGACAACATTCAATTTCAATTACTATTACGTCAATCAATGATTTACCTTTGTAATTATTGCTTGTCTATATAAGCGAGAAAATAGCCGGTAATTACCCGGTTTTCGTAGCATCGATGCGCCTAGAAAATAATTTAACTCTTTGCCGTATCGTTCTAGGTGAGAAATATTAATAAATTACGTAAGAGGTAGGTAGTTGCAGTAAACAATGCAGATACATTAATCTCCTATGAGATTTAAATCATCGTAACAACCTTGAAACACGTATATTCAGTGTCGATAGGTAAATTTATCCGCAATGCTGCTTCCTTTCCCACTTTTCTCTTCTATATATCTTCTTGTGAACCAATTACGAAGCAACACGGGGGATGCTTTTGCAATATTCATTGTAGTCGGAGCCGATAGGATCTCAGTCTCGTACAGGAAATGTAAACACTGTTTATCAAGTTATGCCAATACCAATGCCGACGTAAAATCAAGATCTAACAAACAAAGGTGTCTCGTTATACTTACTGTCAAATAAAACAAGTAAACAAACTTTGGTTTAGTTTAGTTTTTTATGAAAATTTTAAAACAACCACCCTAGGTCCTGGGTTACACTCATGGAAGTTTAAATTCGTCGTGACAAAGATGAATTTATTGTAAAATACATATAATTCCCGATGAAAGTCATGGGAATGTACGAATTTTAACTTCACAATTCATCAAATCTAAGTTGGTCATGACCAACAATGTTTTCAGTCTCTCGGCTCAGTACTATTAATTTAGATAAACATCCGAGCAAACGTTGACACGCGATCTTTTGTTTAATGAAAACTTCAAACATATTATGTTGATGATAACTATTTTCCTTCTAGAATTTCGATATAATCGCCTAAGAAAAATTCAAAATAAATTAACAAAATATTATGTAATTTTCTTAATAAAAAAATTTATACAGGGCAGAATTTACAATTTTTAAGATCATATCCGAACCCTTGGTATACTTACCAGGTCAATTTACTTTGTAGAAAAGAATGTATTTGTCTTGTGAAATATATTACAGATACCGAGACAAATACAAATTAATTCCATAGTAAATTTGTGTTGTTTATACTTTTAATTATTAAACTACACTGTTGCATATGCATCACGCGCTTCATTCAAAGTTTTCGAAAAATCAGATGATCGGAAATATAATTGCCTAATCAGATGTTGTATCCGCCGATCTTGGTTAAATAATCTGTTTCGAACTTGGAAAAGTTTGTTTATTTTTGCAGTCGTTAAAGCCGCAAAGTCTCTATTATTAGGTTTTCAACGCCATCACGAAGTTGATTTACTACAAAATTGCTTGTTTACGTTTATACTGTTAAAAAAGTATAAACGATGTTTGCCCAAATCATACAAGGACGATATGGAATTACAAAATACATTTTTTCACTCGGCGTCGTGTATTTCCTCTCACTTTTAAAAATAATTACAATACGTCATATCATATTGTTATGTATTTAAATTATACAATAGGTATCAGGTAGGCTTTAGAAATGACACTAAATCGTATTTTTTCCAATGTTGATTGATATGACCAGATTTTAGTTTAAAACCCCAGCTAGGCCCTAATACTTCGTAGATAACAGTGCTTCAGCAGTATTATGTTAGAAAATAAAATTCTTTAGGTCTTAACGTAATTTTGAAGGTATTATCTTTTTAAAGGTGGCAGACAACCTCTTTCATCAATGCTAAGGTTTATAAAATGTGTACGAATGTCATTTTAAGTAATTTAAAATTAAATAACAAGGAAATGATATGCCTACATCTGGAAAGTATGTTTGCCTTGGCAAATGGTGGCGCATTAACACTCGAGAATACTAAAAGAGCCACTTTTATGAGAGGCAATCTTGTAATTGCCTAGATAATCGTAACCCAAATTACAAATTCGATTACAGCTTTACATTTGCCACTTGCATTACGATGCAGTTTATTTTGGTTACAAAATGTCAAAAACGTAAAACGCAGTTTGGACATGTTTTCAGTCAATATTTTTTATCATTTAATTGTTCAATAATATACCATAGATTACGTTGGCTACCTTTTCTGATTGCTTGAAAGCATTTACGTTGATGTCATGGTATCGACTATCACGGTCCCAGGGTCTACCTAAGTCTTCATCAGATTCAACTCTGCAATTAAGTTCGTTATTTTTAAAGGAAAAGGTGGCAATCAGACCCCCAAGTCTTTGTCAGTCCTCATCTGGCACTATATGTACTGTATAGGTAAACTTCTGGATTTCTTCTGCATCAGGTATTGACTTTGTATTTACTAAGGTCTTTAGAGCACTGTCTGAACAAAACTCAGTTTCAGACAGCGTTCTGAAGAAGCCAGCACCATATTTGGCGAAATGTCAGCAAGACAGCCGCAGTAGGAGTGTACCTTCAAGTTCCACAGCCTACGAAAGTTTGTTTGCAAAATTAATATGTACTATGTTGTTTCTTTATCCTCCAGTCACAACCGGTCAACCGGTATTTCAATGGCAATATCAATTTTGTGCATAGGGTTGTTGAGGTTCACTCTGCATTTTGCAGACTGTAATAAAAATAAATTTCTTGACATTTCGTATTCCCAAACAAAAAATTACTTTTGATAGAAGATTTCAGCCCCGTATATTCAGCTTGTATATGCCGGTATGGATATTTTGGGTGACAAAAGAATTTCCTTCCATGATTCCATTATCAGATCGTGTAAAAAACATTGCCCCACCAACGCAGCAAAGTACGCCTTGGAAATTACATTGATCGCATTTCTCAGATCCTGATGTGAACATGAATAGCTCTTAGAGTTTCTCAAAGCACATTGCTAACCTACTAGTACTAGTATTACAGCGTTACTAACATATATCTATAAGAGACGTAATATTCATTATCCTTCCTATTTTTGTGAATCTGAATACATTTTCCCAACGTATTGACTACTTTTAAGTGTTTTTTTTACACTAGCGGAGCGAAGCAGATCGACTGTTTAAAAAGCGAGTTACTGAAGAGGTTCGTTCTTCTTTTCAGTTTAGGCCACTGAGCTTCGCTTCGCTAATAAAATCATGTTATTAATTGATGCCTTTGATCCGCTTAATAAAACAGTGCCCATAAATTGATTTTGAATAGATTGAACATCGATTGGGGGAGATGGTGTAAGTCCCGCTTGGGTGTGCTTGACTTGACTCTATTTTCATTTGGTATACATGATTCGGGTTATGGTTTGCATTAGGATTACTCTCCGGGGCATCGCGTAGTTAATTATGGTGTGTTCTGTTGTTTCAGAGAGGAAACTGTTCGTCGGTATGCTAAGCAAGAAGTTCTGCGAGAACGACGTGCGCGCCCTCTTCAGCGGCATGGGCGTGATCGAGGAATGTACTGTGTTGCGCGACACGTCGGGCAATTCTCGCGGGTGCGCGTTCGTAACGTTTTCGACGAAACAAGCCGCCCTATTGGCAATCAAAAACCTCCACCAGTCCCAAACGATGGAAGGATGTTCGGCGCCTCTCGTCGTCAAATTCGCGGACACCCAGAAGGAAAAGGAAATGAAGAGGCAACAGCAAATGCAGGCGAACGTGTGGAACGCTTTGGCGGCGCCGACCTTAACGTCGCCGCCGCAACAATTCAGTCCGGTGTTGCCGTCGGAAGCGACGTCGCTGCAACTGCTTCAAGCGATGGGCGGTTCCGCGTTGCTTCAGCAACAGTTGCTAACCAGCTCGACCGACAGCTTGCTCGCACCGATAGGAATGCAAAATTTAGTAACTTTGGCGGCGATGTCGCAGCCGGCGACCGCCGCGACTGCGCCGCTGTGCATGGCGAACATTTTGGGTAAAAGCGCGAGTGTAGACAGGACATTATCCGCGGGCGGTCTGCCCACCAGCATTTCGACATCGCCGGATCTTTCTCCTTACGGTTCCCTGATCGCGAATGCTACGATGAACGCGGCCGCCATCGCCGCCGCCGGTAAGCAGATCGAAGGTAAGACTTTGTATGGGATTTTTTTGAACCGCTATAACTTTTGGAACGGTTCGATTCAATTTTATGGTATAAGGTTAGTTTTTTCAAAAAAAAATTCCACGGGCTACTGTAATACTATTTACAAAACTTCTGGTTTCCTCTTGCCTCGGTTTTTGCTGATTCGAACTTGCTGACATTTCGCCAATCATTCTGTTGGCTTCTTCAGAGCTTGATTGAAACTGGCTCGTATTTTACTCTATACCTGCTTATATATTGTCTGAGGCAGGCCTAGCTACATGACGGGCATACACACCGTCTCGGATGACTGATTCCCCATATTGGTGACAGATAAACACCTGAGTTGCGGTTAAGATTGTTAGGTTGTTTATAGATTTCTATAGACTCCCGGATTTTTCGTTGGTAGAAAAATTGATTACATGCAAGAATTTTAGTTTTATCGGATAAAATTTTATGTCCGGTTTCGTGATTGTGTTCGGTAACAGCTGATGAGCTTATTTTCTTAGTAGTAAAGGTCTTTCGTGTTCCTTGAGCCTAGTTGATAATTTTCGTCCGGTCTCTCCAATGTATTCTTTGCCAAAAAATCTGTTGATCTTTTGGAAGTCCGTAGAGACGAGGAATTTTAGACTCATGAGGGATAACAGATTTTTTATGGTAGTCTGTTTACGATAGACTCGACATTTGAAATGATTTCCTCTTTTGGCATAATACAAATAAACTCATCAGCTGTTGCCGAACACAATCACAAAACCGGACATAAAATTTTATTCCATAAAACTAAAATTCTTACATGTAATCATTCTTCTACCAACGAAAAATCCGAGAGTTCATAGAAATCTATAAACAACCTAACAATCTTAATCCCGACTCAGGTCTTTAGCTGTCACCAATATGGGAATCAGTCATCCGAGACGGTGTTTATGCCCCTCATTTAGCTCCGCCCCGCTCAAATAATATAAGCAGGTACAAAGTAAAATGCGAACCGATTTTAGTCAAGCTTTGAAGAAGCCAACAGGATGATTGGCGAAACGTCAGCAAGTTCGACTCAGCAAAAACTGACGCAGGAGGAATCCAGAAATTTTGTAAAACGTATACGGTTAGTGTTGGGAATAGTCAAAAAATATTATAAATAACATCTTGTCAATTGACCATTCAATTGACCGGTCCATTGACACAAAAAAAATTGACCGGTCAATTCCACAACCCTATATACGGTTGAAATTCGGCAAGCAGATTGAGTTCTGTTCCTGGATGGAACAGATTGAAACGGAGAGAGAATGGGGAGGGTCGGAAAGTATTTTTAAAAATTATTTTACATTTTTGTGCCTGATTCGAGGTTTATCGGTTCTGCTTTTTTTTTTTCACCAGAAACAAATTTATTCACCCTAAGAAGTACCACAACAAATTTCTGTTGAACTTCGGTATTGAGAACTACATTTTGTACATTTCAGGTTTCGTTTATTATATGGGGTGTACGAAAATGTTGAAGAAAAACGGGTGAAGATCGTTATTTTAGCAGAAAATCGATATATTTTTGTGCACGGTCTGGTTAGGACTTTCGAAATAAAATGCATGTCAAAATAATTGCACTCATTTGATACAATCAAACTTCAAAGTCAGTTTGAGCTTGTAGGAATGCTTAATTTAGAAGCAGACAGGATGGAAAATAATTTCATAGATCCCTTTCAACTGTGGACGTATAAAAATCTTACCTGCTTCCAAATTAATTTACACTTTCCTTTTTGAAAGCAGAAGCATCCATTGGTGCAATCAATGCATACTTTGATTGGTAAATCAGTCGAATTACTCCATACTAGCAAATATCTTGATTGCACTCGCATTAGTATAAATACCTCTTTTAAGATGATAGATAAGGGGAAAATCGATTTTGTTATTTGAAGTATTACCATAAGGTAGCAACCACATACTTTAAAAACAAAAAAATTTCATTTTTAAACATTTTCTTTGACTAATATACAACTTTTTGATGTGTCACAAATTGGTACTAAATTCATCTCTTTTAATTTCTATTCTTTATTTTTTCTTTCATTTTGTGTATTAACGTTACATGGGACAATAAGTACCAAAAATGCAAATGGAATAGGTCATGATCATAAAGCTTCTTTCTTTGAAATGTTCACGTGACGTAGGTGTGTTTGCAACCACGTTTTTTCTTAAACCGTATAAAATTGTAAATGTAAGTGGTAATGCTCATCTTTATTTGTGTATAAGTGTAATTAAATGCGATTCATCCAGCGTGTAATTTTTAGAAGGTTGGGTTCCACTCCCAAAACCGATTTTCAGATGAATTGCTAAAAGGCTATTTGTCAATGTAAATAAAAAGGAAAGACTTTGTAATTGTTGAGGAAAATGTGTATTAAATATAATTAAATATTATTTTCGACAGAAGTAAAATAGATTAATCAAACTTTTTTTGGAAAATTTATTGACGTTGCATTTTTGAATATGTCTGCTGATTTGGTCCGATAGAATAAAATAATGTCTTAATTAAGGAGTTCAAGTTTGCAACTAACTACTAATAATCAGTTAAAAAATGCATATTTTCTATAAATTGTGCTTATAATTCATCTGCATTCTTGAATGTTCTTTCATGCTGTGCATCATAATTTCTCTGTGGTCGACCCATCGATGTGTCTCTTGCGTCTCTAAGCTTGATTTCTCCACATTGAAGCGAGTTCAGCGTAAATTCTTCAGCAATTTCGTCTATTTTTAGTTTTGTGGACCGTACGGATTGGAATTCTAATTCAATCATTAAACGCTGGAAGACTAATTAAAGTTGTTGCTTTGATATATTCCACTACAACATCTCATGTTCTGCTTCTCTAAAATATATTTATCCAAAACCAACTAGATTAGATTTGTTTGCATCAAGATATTCATTCATGAAGGATCTTGAATTTTGCTGCATCTCATATAAAATGTTCGTAATTCGTCTGTTACGTCTGAAGACTCATTTATTTGTTTTTGCTTTTTCTTTCTTATATAATTTGAGCTCGGGTAAGGCATTTTCATATTGCTTCTATCAAATAAAATTGTGTAAATATGCAAAATTGTAAAACAAGTTAAGATACCGACCGCCAGTTTCTTCTAAGATCTTTTCAGTATCTAGATAATGTCGATCGGGCATTAGCAGTATGTTTAAAAGGCAATTAATATACGTTTACGTAGCGTATTTGGAGCGCCATTAAGTTTTATTTATTTAGGACGAAAAAATGCAGTTAATGTGTTAAAGGCTTTGTTTACGTTTTCAATCAGCAGATAAGGTAATTGCTACCTAACGATTCTTTTTAATGGCGCAAAGCGTCCCGGATTTGGTACAAAGCGACTGAAAGGGGCAAACAAAAGATTGTTATTAGGTCGTTCGAGGACCATAATAATTACGATCGGGGCGAATGACAACATTTTTGACGGTTCTTCGTTAATTATAAAAATGACAGCCCCGACAGATCGGGCCCTTTAAAAATTAAATTACCACGATACGGTCCTTTCGAAAATAAATTAATTTATCTTCGGACATTTTACATTTAAGGCCGTGATTGATTTGCGACACATTAGGCCGAAATGATTGATTGCCGTTATGAAAAAGCGATCATTTACACTGTAAATGCGTTGTCGGCGATCTGCTTCGAGTGGATTGGTGGAAATAAAAAGCAGATGGGGAGACATTACATTCACACACAAAAAGGAAAAAAAACGGTAAAACAATTTGCATAAAATATTGATAATGATGGGAAGAAAAATGAATCATTCAGACCGAACTATAGGCGAAATAAGGTGAAAAGTTCAATAATTATGAACGCGACTAAAAGGTACCAAGTTTACATACCGTGTTACATAATGATGGGTAGATCGTTATTCCAGGGGCCCACTGATGGACTGAATTTGAGCCTAGAAGTTCCTAAACATCTGTCGCAAAATATATAAGGAAAGTATGTATTTTTTATTAACATACTTTTAAAACTTTGTGGGAATTTGCTATGCAATGATATATTTTCGTACTAAGTATCTTATCTTCTTTAGTTTCCTAATAATTTTCGTACACTTTATTTTGGATTTTTTTTGTTAAAACCTGCTGTAGCGTTAACTGCTTAATTTACTACCAAATTGATAATAATGATGAAGTCCGATGACCGATTTTTGACCAAAAAAAAAAAGGCTCCAAGAACTTTTATGCTTGAATATAGGTCAGAAGTGCGCCTCCGGAATTACTTTGCGAAGGTGTCAATATTTTTTCTAAGAGTGAAATAAATATACATTTACGTAATTTTTAATTTTTAATAAGTGAAAAACTGTCGTAGTACATCTTCTGTCCGGTTGAAAAAGGAAGAAATAGTTCTTGCAGCTTAAAACTTTGTCGCTTAGTCCAGGTATATATAGCTGACTGACACCTCTCAATACTAATTACAATAGGCGTTTCAAATTGCCCAATTTTTTTATGATAACATTCGTATGCACCATTAAAAATCTATTCTAGTCGTAAATCAACGCCCTATATTCGATATCAGTTAAAAATGGAATCCTCTAATATGATCTCATGTTACATTTTGGGAACACAGCAATATGGTTGTTGTCAGACCTGTCGTTGTTTTCGAATAGACCCAGGAGAAAAACGGTTTACATTAAATAATGACTAATTTAAAATAACAGTTCTGAGATCTTTGCAATGTTTAAGGAAATATTTTATAATTATAATATATATTATATATATTATATTATATATTATATATATATATTATATAATGTAGGAGAACAGGCAAATTTTTCGATCAATGGTCACGTAGTAATTTAATTGTAGATAATAAGAATTGCAATTTAGAGGATTTTTATGGCACCTGTAAACCGTAAATAGATGCAAGGCAATATTCGATATATTCATTTCGAGGCAGGTGTTGCATATCTACGGTCGATAATTATGCAATTGAAAAATTAAAACACGCTCAAAAGAGACCACTATGTGTCAATTGTTGACGCCTTGCCAAAAC